GTGCAATATTTTTCCCAAAGCAATACACATACAACAAAAAGAGACTGGAAACACAGCGGAAAATTTATACATTAGGAAAATATGAACCAAAAACAATCAGTGGATCCTCAAAAAAGAGGAAAGAGTAATCGTATGACTGACCCAGCACTCCTGGGGATGCAGAAGTAAAAAAACACCCACACTTTACCTGACTGCTTAGAGCAATGCTATTTACTTATGAGAGACAAAAAGACCAAGTCCCAAATAGATAAACACAAGAAAATACTCAGCAGAAAAGGCAGGCTATGAAGAGAAAAAGATCAGGACTCCATAAACATACGACTTCGTGTGTACGTGCTTCAGATTGAACTCACTCTCTCTCCCTCTTTTCAATTGCAAATGTGCAGTGACCCCCCAGCCGAGCCCCTCCCCATTTGCCAATTTATTGGTAGTCAAAACTGCTCCCTCCCTCAGGTTAGAACGAGTTTTTAAAAACTCCTTGAAACAGAGAAAGCGCTCTCACTCTCTGCTTCCAGCTAACACTTGGCCCACCATGACCTGTTCTAGCTTCTTTCTCTAACCCTTAATAAACTTTTATTATCTCCCTCGCTACGTCGACGTATCCTGCCTGGATGCATCCAGAATACAAGAATGTAGAATTTCCTGTTTACCAATGGCCATGACACTGATAGATGATACAACATGGATGAACCTCCAAAACATCATCCATGTACGATTCCATTTGTATGATGGACAGATGGGTGAACTGAATTAAACAGACTCCATAGACCAGAAGATGTCTGTAACACCAAAGCCCACAGGGATCATTAATATCCAGACTGTAAGATCTTCTGGTGACCAATGACAGAAAGACAGGAAACTCAATAGAAAAAAAAGCAGGTCAAACAGGCACCAGCGGCTCACGCCTGTAATCCCAGCTACTCAGGAGGCAGAGATCAGGAGGATTGCACTTGGAAGCCAGCCCAGCCATATAGTTCACCAGACCCTAACTAAAAAAAAAATAAAAATCACAAGGTGGAGTGGCTCAAGATGTAGGCCCTGAGTTCAAACCCCAGTACTGCCAAAAAAAAAAAAAAAAAAACCAAAGGTCAAGGATCTGAAAAAACAACACAATAGGGAAAAACAATAAACATTTAAAAATATGTTCAAACTCCCTTGGGAACTACAACTAGTCAGCTTTGCATCACTGCTAGACACCTGACATAATCAACTTACCACCAGAAAAGGTAATGGCTCACAGTTCTGGAGGGTTCAGTCCATGTTAGCAGCAGTGAAAATTACGTACCTGTGCTAGCTGGCTTTCTCCTTCTCCCTTTTATTCCACCCAGGTGCCCAGTCTACGGGATGATGCCACCCGCATTTGGGGCAAGGCTTTCCCCTCGTTAATCCTCTGGAAATGCCCTCACATGCACAGCCAGAGACGTGACTTCTCAGTCCAGTCAGGTTGATAATCAAGATTGACCATGGCAAGACACAAGCCAGAGCACCTGATGTGTCGTGTAGAGATGTCGTGGGATGCGAGGAACATGGCAGAACCAAGGCAATCCGTGCGATTAAACGTTTAAAACAGGTGAAAAGAACGAGTCATTTTAATGCACCAATGTGGAAAAAAGGAACCCAATTAACACATAGACTACTGGTTCATAGGAGGACCCAGGGATGGTTGTAGATACAAAGGAAAGATCTGGGAGGATGTCCCCAAACCACCCCCAAGAAGGCAAGTGACACTTATAAGCATGCACCGTGTATTTGAAACATTTGCAGAGTATAGATAAAAACTTCTAAAAACAGTGTTAAAGTGGAAGAGTTTACATTAACACGTAAAGGTGTTTTTAAAGGGAGAGCTGCACACTGGGTCCTTCTATAGCTACACGGGTGACAAATGACTATTGTCTACAATGTAAACACATGGGACAATTACCAATCGGAAAGGTCAGAACAGACAACCCACAGAAGAGATGAGAGACATGGATGGCAGTCAGCAGAAAGGCCAACGAACACACAAAAAGATGACAAAATACCTGTAACAACCAGGGACATGCAGGTAAAACCACAATCAGATTGGAGAAAAAAATGGAAGTCTGATGGTACCAAGGACCAGGGGGCCACCCAGGCTCATGACACCCGTGTGGCATCAGAAGGGTGGCTCCCGGTCCAACACAATGGAGGGCAATTTGGCAACGCCTAGTAAAGTTGAAAAGCAAATTGCCTGAGGCCCAAAAGTCCACTTCTACTTAAGTGCTCAGAAGTTCTCATACACAGACAAGCAGACACATTCCAGAATGTTCACTGCGATTCAGAACAATGAAAAACTGCAAAGAAACTAAATATAGTAAACTTACACCACAGGACACCATAGAGTAATCAATTAAATGAACTAAGCTGCACATATCAATATGGGAAAAAGAAATCTCTCAAGCAGTGTTCAATTTTTACAAAAAGTAACCTGGGGCCCTGGGGAGAATCTCACCAAGTCACAAAGAATTTAAAAAATGCAGAAAATGCTCTGAGACCACCATACAGTTAAAGCAAAAATGAATGACAGTATGGAGTTTTGGGACAATTACTAGTGGTGATGGCTGCACAACGTTGTGACTGTCCTGTCACCAAATTGTACACTTTGAATTGGCTAAAATGGGACATTTTATCACAATTTAAAAAATATATCAGTAACAAGGGCTGAAAGTGTGGCTCAAGTGGTAGAGCGCCTGCCTAGCAAGCTCAATGCCGAGTTCAAACCCCAGTACCACAATTAAAAAAAAAAAAAAAACAACCTAAGGAAACCTCATCTTTAATAAAAAGTCTTTTAGATAACTCATAAGTTACCGGAGAAAGCACAGTGGGACTCAGGAAATAAAGTGATAATGAAAACATGACATTCAAGATTGATGAAATAAGTGAAAGCCACTTAGAAATACATAACTTTTAATTCACTTATTAGAAAGAAAGGAGACAATCAGTAAATACCCTCCCCCCACACCAGAAGGTAGAAAAATAAAGGCAAATTAAATCCACACAAAAAAAATAGAAGGAAGCCTATCACTCCGGAGGCTGGGACAGAGGACTGTGAGTTGGAGGTCACCTAGGCTACACAGCAACAGTCTGCTTCAAAATTTAGAAAAAAGGCTGCTAGAGTGGCTCAAGTGACAGAACGCCTGCCTAGCAAGGGTGAGGCCCGAGTTCAAACCCCAGGACCATAAAGAAAAACAATTAATGTAATCAATAAGACTAATACAATTGATACAACTCAAGAGATTAAGAAAAAAGGTAAAATACAAAAAAAATCTGAAGGAAAGAGTTGTCACTAGCCAGTTACTGCCAAAACACACACCATGAATCTGATCATGAAGAAACCATCAGAATGACAGTGAGTCAGTCACCAAGGCCAAATCACTGTCTGTGTTGCCCTACAGTAAGGACACTGGTGCCTTCTCAACCAAACACAACACCTGGTCCCAGTCCTTGAAAAAAGTCACAACAGACATTGAGATAATTGGCCAAATCTGAACGGACCAGGCTTGACAGTTGTCCGAGTCTTAATGTCCCAACTTTGGCAACTGTCCTGTATTGTAGATGAATGTCACTCTTCTCAGAACACTGGAGAATTTAGGTGCCAAGGTGCAAGCTGTCTCCAACAGTCAGCCCCAGGGATAGAGTGCAGAATGCAGTTCTAAGCGAGAGACATTTTGCCAAATAGTCCATGCCCTTGCCAAGGTCAAGGCCTTGAGGGTTGACTCTCCCCCATGGGGAAGGACAGACCTTGGACGCAGCACAGCCCCATGGAGACCTCGGTGCACAGACTGGACCTTGGCTTGAAGCCCCAAGGCTGAGGGAGGAAGGGCAGCTCCGAGAGGCAGAGCCCAGTGCCACCGTCACTTGGGGAATGCAAACCTGCTCCACAGCCTGGGCTGGCCCACCGTACCAGCCCTCTTCCTGCTGGGCACAGCATGGCTCAAGCTGGTTATCAGCGGGTAGAGCAGGTGCACCTGAGACCCAGAGCCCAGCTGCCTCCGCTTGCTCCTCTCTGAGCCTCATACCCCTCCCCTCACCCCCCATCTACAGGAATGACCTGAAGAACTTCCTCCCAGGGACCTGTTCCTCTGCTCTCCTGGGCCAGAGCCCTCTGACCAGCACCCGCACTGTTCCTGAGCTCACACCTGCCCCCAGGTGGGACGAGCCAAACTTGGCATCTTCTGGGAGACACCCCGAACCCATTCTGCTCTCTGCCTGACTTGAACCTGAGTCCAAAGTGGGGACAGGGACAGATCCCAGGGTCACGTCAGGGAGACCCAGAGGGCTGTGAGCTAGAAGCAGAGACACTCAAAGCTCTTACCTGGAGCCAAGAGAAAGTCACATACACCCAAACTTCTACAGGCTGCCTTCCCTCAAGAGCGTGGGGGAAAGTGTTTCCCAAGAGCCCCAGGTGAGCCTCCTCGGCAGGGAAGACACCGCCTGCCGGCCCTCCACGCCCCGCCTAGCCCGTGGGAGCCCACCTGAGCAGTGGCGGAAATCAGGACCCGAACTCACACAGGAAAGCTCATCCTGCCCTCAGCACCCCTCCATCTGGTTCACTCAAAGCCAAGGACTCCGTGTCCAGCCTCCTCCTCCACCCAGCCACCTGGCGCTTGCAGGTTGCCACCTGCACAGGCTCTCAGGTGGGAACCTCTGGAGGCCAGGCAGCCCAGGGAAGGAGCCCAGAGCTCCAGGCTCCTAGCAGTCCAGGCCCCCTGGAGGGCCATCTGTCTCTTTCCTGCCTTCCCTCCAGATACCGCCCTGCAAAGACAGGAAGTTGCCCTTCCAGTCCCACCTTCTCGGGCTGCTTCACTCATATCATTGGCTTGAAGCAGCCAAAGTTCAGGTGCCTCTGCCCAAAGCCGCCCCGGCAGGCGGCAGGTCCCCTCTCACAGGCTGGCTCAGGACCGGGTTGCTGGAGCATTCGGACACTAATCACAGGGTTGCCTTCAAGTCTCCGTGCTCTCCCACCTAGGCCACAGAGCCTCCCACAGCCTTGCTCCTGTCCCCACTGCAGTCCCCTCCCCATTCCACATGCTGCTTGGAGGCCAGGTCAACTTAGAGAGCCCCCTGGAGGGGGCCTGCCCCCTGCTGGTGGCGCTCCCGGACACTCACCCAGGCTATGACCGGTTCTTTATCCTCCTGATCCGCCTCCACGGCCAGCCCTGCCTCCCGAGGTCAAGCTCCCGGGTCACACTCAGGGTGGGGGGTGTTGGCCCGCACAGACAAAAGACCCAAGGACCAGGACACAGGTGAGGGTCAAGGCACAACTATGCTTTATTGGCTGGTCAGTTCCCACAGGTGACAGGCACACCACACACCTGTTCTCATCTGATCTTTCCAGAGAGGCCCCCGACCCAGCCCCCAGACTTCCCAAGACTGGGACTCCGGGGCTGGAGAGACAAGTTCTGCTACTGAGGACTGGTCACTCTGCCAGTCCCTTCTTCCTGACCTCTGACTTTGGGGTCCCTCCCAAGGTCATACCAAGCAGCAGGGCCTAAGGGAGTGACTGTCATTTGGTGCTCCCCACAGCCTGGTCTCCAAGAGACCACAGCCACTCAGAAGAAGGAAATGAGGCACATTGGTGGGTGAAGAGATAGGAGAGTCCTGCACTGAAGAGATGACAGGTGTGTCCTTAGTCTCAGGTCACCTCTCCTCTCCGCAACACAGACTCCCATGCAGCCTGATGGGGGGTGGGTAGAGGCAAAGGGCAGGATTGAGGAGGCAGGTCCTGCCCCACCCTCTCAGTAGGAATCAGGATTAAGGCCGCGGGGCTCCACCCTTTCCCATGGTCCACAGGCCAGCCGCTGGCAGGTGGGCGCTGGTCTCCTGGAAGGGCTCAGCTCCGGTAACTCCGGAGCAGGTGCCCGGCAATCACGAGCCTTTGGATCTCGCTGGTGCCTTCATAGATTTCGGTGACACGGGCGTCACGGTAGTGCCGCTCGGCTGGCATCTCTGTCACATACCCCATGCCTCCCAGGATCTGGATGGCCTAAGTCGGACAGCAGGCACTCAGGAGGCAGAAGATCTGCACCCATTGGGCAGATGTGGCCACACAAGGTGACCAGCTGTGGGAGGGCCGCGGCCACACACAATGCTCACCTGGTGGCTTATGGCGGTTGCTGCTTCTGATGCAGCCAGCTTGGCCATGGCAGACTCCTAACCCCCAGGGATGGCACAGTCAGCACTTCCATGTGCAGGGAACCCCCAGCTCCTCCCCAAGGGGTCTGCAGCAGCAGTAAACCCACAGGGCCACCCCCTGCCCTCACCGGCCCAAGGAAGTGGGACCCACCCAGACTTCTCCCTCAGGGAATCCCTCGCCCCCACCCTCCCAACAGGCACCTTGATGAATGGTTTCTTATTATCCTTCAACATGGCAGCACGCCACGTCAGCAGCCGGGCACTCTCCAGAGCCACAGCCATGTCTGCCAGCTTGAACTGCAACATTCCAGCCCCACAGGTCAGCAGGTGCTCCTTCCTCCCTCCAAGGACAGGCAAGAGGAGGAGGGAGGACACGGGAGCGGGTAAAAAGCCAAGCTTCCCTCCCTCGTGTCCAGGCTCACTCCTGAAGTGTCCTCCCCTCCATTACCTGGATGCCTTGGAGCTTGGAGAGGGGTCCCCCAAAGGCTTTGCGGTTCTCAGCATAGTTCACAGCGCAATCAAGGGCAGCCTGGGCGATGCCCAGGGCCTGGGAGGCGATGCCAATGCGGCCCATGTCCAGAGTTTGCTGTGGGGACCACCTAGTTATTGGTGGCAGGCTGGGGCCCATGGCCTGGCACCAGGGCACTGCCCCCTGCTGGTCTCACCATAGCTATCTTGAAGCCCATCCCAGGCTCCCCCAGCAGGTTCTCCTTGGGAATGCGACAGTCCTCAAAGATGAGGTTGGCCGTGGACGAAGCTCGGATGCCCAGCTTATCTTCCTTCTTCCCCAGTGTGAGCCCCGGCGTTGGCATGGGAACCAGGAAAGCACTGATGCCCTGGAAGGCCCCGAGAGGCCTCTGAGGGGTTCCTCAGAGGCTGTGGGGGCCAGCAAGCTGCTCCAGCCCCACTTTGCCAACACCACCCCAGATGACAGCTCCAGGGTCTCCCCCACCTCCCTCCTTCTGTTGGCTTGGGGGGAGGGTGCAGATTCCAGGGGGACAAGAAGATCCAACAGTGCCCCAGAGCAGAACAGCACCAAGGTTCTGATCTAGAAACCAAAATGACAACCCCAGAAACTTGCCTGTGCCCCTCCCTGGGGCCCCCACCTTGTTCTGCAGGGACTTGTCTGTGCTGGCAAAGACCACAGTGGCCGAGGCCTCCCAGGAATTGGTGATCCAGGCTTTGGTGCCATTCAGGACCCACGAGTCGCCATCTTCCCGGGCTGTGGTGGAAGCAGCTCCCGCATCGCTGCCATTTCCTGCCCCACATACAGACTCAGGACCCAGCAGGGTCCCCACCTCACCCGGGCTCCAAAGCTATGGACCCGACTCCCAGGAGAAAATTCCAGGCCGATCTAGCTCCCAAAGCTTCAAAGACTAGTCCCGGAGGGCACAGGGTTGACATCTTCAAGCCAAAAGGACCCCAAAGCCACAGTGCCCCGCACCCCTGGCAGGCAGCAGTGTTCGCCTTTGGATCCAGGCAGTGCAGCCCAGCTCAGCTGCCCACACCAGAGGCCTCTCCTCCCTCTCAGGAATCCACCAATAGCAAGCCCCAGACCCTGCTTATCCCCCTGGGGGCACCTGGCTCCCACCTGGGTCTGTCACTCTGAGGGACAGGGCCATACCTGGTTCACTGAGGGCAAAACAGCCGATTTTGTCACCACTGGTGAAAGGGGTGATCCACTGCCGCTTCTGCTCTGGGGAGCCAAACTTCAGGATGGGCCCCAGGTACAGAGACTGGAAGGGACAGTAGGGAGTGGTTGGAGGCCACCCTAAGGCTGTCCCCCACAGGACCAAGTCTAGAGGTGACTCCAGGACACAAGGCTGGAAGCCCAGGCTAGCTGTGCTCCACTGTGGGGACACATGGCCAAGGTGTCCCCCGAAGGAGCTTCCCCCACCCATGGGTCCCAGGCCCAGGGTCACTCACATTGTTGACACTCATGATGACTCCGGTGGAGGCACAGCCACGGCTGATCTCCTCCATGGCGATGGAATAGGCCAGGTAGTCAAGGCCCGCGCCGCTGAGCTCCTCAGGCACGTCCATGGCCAGCAACCCGAGCTCCCCCATCTTCTTCACCTGGCCAGGTAAGGAAGCGAGATCCTCTAATCACACGCTCTGTGACACCTATGCAGTACTGCAGCAGCTGGAACTTCCTATCTTTTAACAACTTCTCTCTCTCCTCCCTCTCTCTCTCTCTCATACTGGGGACTGAACTCAGGGCCTTGTGCTTGCTAGGTAAGTGCTCTGTCACTTGAGCCACACCCCCAGACCTTAACATGCTCATTTTGACAAAGATCTTTCTCCATGACCGTGAGAACAGAGACTGTGTTTCTTCTCACTGCTCTGTACCCAATGTCAGTAACAGAACAAGTGGATTAAGAGGTTGGGATTTTTTATTTGTAATAATAGAGTAATCATTAACACCAAAGGCCTATCATCTACCAAACTCTGTGCTAAGCACTTTATTTGTACAGTTTTGCTTGAGTCTCTCCAAAGCTCTAAGAAAACAGTGCTATGTGATAATCTCATGGTAAGGCGGGGAAACCAGGCTCAGAGAGGTTAAGCAACCTGCTCAAGGCCTCAGAGCACCTCAGTGGTATGGCTAGGATTAAAACCTGAGCAATGAAAAGAATCGTGCCCAGCTCTGTCTCTGCTAACCTTGGACAAATTCCTTTCCCAGCTGTTCACCCAAGAATCGAGAATCGTGGACCACTGCAGAACCTACCTAACTCAGGGAGGAAAGTAAAAACAACTGCCTCTGAAGAGCGGGGACAGGGGAGGGGCCCTCAGTTTCTGGGAGCCAGGGGTCTGGGTCCCCTGCAGATACCAAACTCACAGGAGCTCAAGTCCCTACAGAAAATGCACAGGACCTTTGCACACCCTCATTTCATGTGTACCTCATTTTATAATTATTTATTTTTACAGTGCTGGGGATTGAACCCAGAACCTCGCACACGCTAGGTAAATGCCACCCAGCTACACCCACACACTTTTAGTCCCATTTAGAGGACTTATCCTGCCGAATGCAATGTAAGTGGTATGTCTACAGCTGTCATACCACACGAGTTCTGGAACAGTAAGTGAAAAGAAGTGCACCTGCTCAGTACGGATGCGATTTCTTCCTGAATATTTTCTCTTTCCATAGTACTACCTACTTCTGTGATTATGAAAGTTTTACCTCCCCCTCGCCCAAAATAATACCTCAAAGGGCTCCTCTGAGGAGTAGGCAAGACAACATATAGAAAACACTGAGCCCAAGTCAGGCGCAGTGGTCATGCCTGTAAATCTCAGCTCCTCAGGAGGCAGAAACTGGGAAGATCGTGGTTCAAGGCCAACCCAATCAAAAACAGAGACCCCATCTCAGCAACAAAGTGGTCATGGTGGTGCACTGCCTGTGGTTCCAGCTATATGAGAGGCTGCAGGAAGGAGGATCTCAGTCTAGACCACTGCAGGCAAAAAAAAAAAAAAAAAAAAGACTCTACCTGAAAAAACTAAAGCACACAGGGTTGGGGTGCGGCTCAAGCGGTACAGCACCTGCAAGACCTGGAGTTCAAACCCCAGTACCACCAGAAAAAAGAAAGAAAACATCAAGCCCAGTCCCTGGCTCAGGCTGTGATTGCCTGTCATCACAAGTGGCCGATGGCTTCTTCCTTTAATGATAACACAAGAAGGAGGAACCTACAATGTGCTGTACTCTGTATACATCTGTGTCCCTCTGTGAAACGACTTATTTACTCTGCCTTAAATGCTGCCATGGACACTGTCTTATAAGACCCCAAGCCTGAGCTGGATCTTCCTCACCTCCAGGTCACCCCACACAGGGCAAGCGGGGCATAAACTCACCTGTGGATTGCATGGAACTGAGATTTTGCAAGTGCTCTGTGGCCCCTGCAGCGGGCACATGGAGGAAGGAGAATGTAGAGAGTGGGAGGCAAATGCAGTTCCCAAAAGATATCATGTCCTAGCCCCGGTCATTCCATGGCCACCACACCCCCGGGGGAAGGAGGTCCTGCTCACTGCCTGTACCACTTCAGCAGGCAGGACTTCCCCAGGAAGGGCAAGTCAACAGTCAAGAGTAGCTTTTTACTGTGGTATTATGGAACTCGGCCTTGTTTGGCACAAACACGCCTGGGGACAGAGCACCTCACAGCCCAAACCCGGACATCCAGCAGATCCTCCAGGGTGAGCACAGTGTCTGGTTACATATAGAATGCCTCTGCTGCCGGACTATATTCTACCAGGTGCTAGAAACACACAGGACCCTAAGACTCCCATCCATGAAGCCTCCTTCTCCATGAAAGGTTCTTTCTCTGTCCTCCCAGCAAAACAGACTAAAGTGAATAGGTCACGTGGCCCCACACCACAAGCATCATGAGATCCCCTGGAGTCTAAGACACACCCTGCTCTTAACTTCACAGCTCATCAGGACACGATCCTTCAATAAAGGACTGGTGAACAGATTGCCCCAGAGCTGCCTTCATCCCAAGAAACATAAAGGCAATCAAAACTGCAGGCAAAATGTAAGACAATCAGCTCCCTCATACATCCTCAGTTTTCCACACTCACCCAAAATGCTTGCTTGCCCATCTCAACAGGTAGGCAGAACAAGGACTGCCATTTCCCTTTTACAGCTGGGGAACACACACAGAGCACGCCCAGAGGCAGTAACCAGGTTCAGGCCACAAGAAACAGCTAGGCTCTTGGTGTCTTCTTCTCTATTTAACACCTTTTCCTTCCAGCTGCCTTGATGGTTCTCACTGAGCCAACCTCAGAGTCACAAGATTTCACAACGACCACTGCCAAAGGACTTCACTGCCACGTGTTGTCTCCACCATCCCTCTTAGGATCAGCCATCTTCCTTCAACACTGACTTCTGTCAGAGAAATGGATGACCCTTTCACTCCTCATCCTGTACATAGTCACCCTCACCTCCCCCCGCAATGCAACAGTGATGGCTTGGGCTGTCTTTTGGCCTTTCTCACTGTGAAATATATCTCTAGATTTCAGGGAACATGCCAGCCCCAGGAACATTCTAGAACAAAGATGGGAGATAGAAGCCATATTGGTGGCAAAACGTACTGAAAAAGAGGGAGGAAAGGAGAGTAGCAGCGAGGGAAGGAAGAAAGAGGCAGTAAGGGAGAAGAGACCAAAATCCAAAGAAAAGGCAGACAGAGGGAAAAAAAAGACATGTGTTCAGTTTTGCACCTCATTTCTGACCACATAAAGTTGACGGTAATTGGCTAACAGTAGCCAGGCAGCCTTGTTACTATGGCATTTTCTACAGAGGCCTGACCTTTAGCACGACCTCAAGGGGTGACCTCCCCAAGTGACCCACATATGACTCTTGTCCCTTGTGTCTGTGAAGCAACCACCTGACATGCATCCTGAGGAGAGGCAACCCTGCCTCAAGGTCACCACACACTGAGGAAAAGAGACAGACAGACACTGCAATTCCCTTTGCCAGCGGTGACAAGCCAAGCAAGCCTTCCGCACCTGCTGCCTTCAGAGGAGGAAATGGCCAAAGGACAGACACTTTATGCTCCAGCTTCCTACTGGAAGGTGACCTCCTCCCACATGAGCCCTGCTGTGGTAAATTCAGGTCTTCACTTGAAGCCAACCTCCACACCTCCAAATCCAAATGTGCACTTTGAACCCCCAGAACGGTGAGCTAAATAAACCTCTTTTCTTTATAAAGTTAAAAAAGAAAGCACATCATATGAAAACAATGCCTCACGTTGCTTCTAAAACTCACATTTGAAAAATATCTTGAGTGTGCCTGTGTTCGCTACAATCAAAACTATTTAACATCAAGCATTTTAAAAACTAAAATTTCCTACTTTGTCAAAAAGTTGCTACTTATTCAAGAGAAAACCAAGGGACTCCAGGTGTGGCATATGTGAGGCCTTGGGTTCTGTCCCCAGCACCACAAAAAAAGACAATAGAAAACCAGGCATTGACAGGGACCTGGTTAGCCATGTCCACTGGGCTACATGTGGGGACAATGAGGACACTAAGACCAGACCCATCTAACAGGTGTACAAGCTGGTTCAATTTAACAAAACTCCACAGACAGACATTTGCTGATTGTCAGCGCTCACTGTGTACAATGTATCACACTGAACAGGAAGACCTGAGGAAGAACAAGACCTAGACTTGGATGCTGGTGGCTCACGCCTGTAATCCTAGCTACTCAGGAGGCAGAGACAGGAGGATCACAAGTTAAAGGTCAGTTGGTGCAAAGTTAGCAAGACCCTATCTCAAAAATGAAATAAAAACAAAAGGACTGGAGGTATAGTGCAAGTGGCAGAGCACTTGCCTAGCATGAGCAAGCCTTGGGTTCCATCCTTAGCACTGAAAAAAAAAAAAAAAATTCACTGAGCAGATGAGAAGAAAAACTGCATTCAGCTTTATACACATAAATAAAAATTTTGAGGTTAAGAAGTCCAAAATTGGTTGGAGATACCATTCGGTTTTCTATTCCCCTTCACAGCAAAGCACATTAGAACTCACAATTGTTTCTCTCATTTGTTCACCTGGACATAAAAAGACAAGGCTGCAATTAAAGTTACAAAACCTCTATGTAGGCAGAAACTGGCACTAGCTTCCTCCTAATTCTTGGCCTGCCCTCCTCCCAATTCCTCTCTCCTTATATAACTACTTTTTGAGGGCAAATGAAAATTCTTCAGGAAAAAGATCAGAAATCACTACACTGCAGGCCCTGCAGAGGTAGCTCAGAAGTCTATGCCTGGCTGCTCAATAATCAAGAAACTTGGGCTGGGGGCATGGGAGGCACTGAGTTCAAATCCCAGTACTGCCAAAACCACCACCAACAACAAAAAAAAACCACTTCATTTCTGCTTTCATTTCCTCATCGATGAAAACAAGATAATGGGGTATATACCTCCTAGCGTAGTCGTGAAGATGAAATATATGTATACCTACCTGGAAAACACGAGCCTCCAAACGCTAGCTACCAAGGTCATTACTATCATGATCTGAGGTTCTGTCTTCATGTTTGTTTTGGCAGTGCTGGGGATCAAACCCAGAGCCAAGCACATTCTAGGCAAGTGCTCTAGCACTGAGCTACGTGCCAGCCCCCACCATTAGGATCTGAAACACTCACTAGTACTTGGGACTTTGCCTAGCAAGCTCAAGGCCCTGAGTTCAAACTCCAGTACCTGCCAACAAACAAACAAGTGAAAGTAACAGGCCTTAATCCTCAGCTAAGAGACAAACATTGGGGGGGAACCCGCGCATCGTGTGGGCCACCATCAAGCACCCAGCTCAGGTGGTACAGTGACAAGACCAGAGACTTGGCATTGCTTTGCCCTTCCAAAACCCGCGACCATGCATCCACATCACCTGCAAACGTGGGTAAACAGGAGCAGGACTAATGTGATGTTAGATTTGGAAACACCTGGCAAACAGCAAAACAAATACAGATGCTGCTGTACTCTGTGTTACCCTGATGCCTTTAGGAAATCCGTGCCCACAGCCCCACGGGCCAGAAGGAGAGGCTGCTGTCCCGGACCTCTTCCTCTCAGCCCACTTCTGCCACCATTTTGAGGAACTACCCTGCGATGTCCCCAGTCCCATAAAGCAAGTAGGAGAGTATGAGCCTATGCCTAGCAATTCCATCCCTGGGCACGTATCCAACAAAACTGAGTGCCTGTGTCTACCAACAGACATGGCGAGAGTATCAATTGCACTTGTAACCTGTCCACATGAAAAACAACCCAAAACTCCATTAGCAGTAGACTAGGTGAAGCAGCATATTCATGCACTGATATACAACTATGAAAGAAGAATGAACTTGGGCTGAGGGCATGGCTCAAGTGGCAAAGTGCTTGCCTAACATGTGCAAGGCCCTGGGTTCAATGCCTGGTACAAAAAGAAAAGAAAAAAGAACTAGTGATCATAAATTGACAACAATAGGTGAATCTCACAAATATAATACCAATTGAAAAGAGTCAGACAAGCCTGGCATGATGGTGCATGCCTGTAATCCCAGCACTCTAGGGCTGAGGCAGGAGGATCCAAGTTCAAGGCCAGCCTGGCTTACACAGTGAGACCTGACTTTAAAAAACAAGAGAAGCCAGGCACTGGTGGCTCACGCCTGTAATCCTAACTACTCAGGAGGCAGAGATCAAGAGGATGGTGGTTCAAAGCCAGCCCAGGCAAATAGTTCAAGAGAGACCCTATCTTGAAAAAACCCAACACAAAAAAAGTGCTGGTGGAACCCATGTTTATTGCGGCACTATTCACAATAGCCAAGTTATGGAAACAGCCAAGATGCCCCACCACTGACGAATGGATCAAGAAAATGTGGTATCTATACACAATGGAATTTTATGCATCCATGAAGAAGAACGAAATGTTACCATTCGCTGGTAAATGGATGGAATTGAAGAACATCATTCTGAGTGAGGTTAGCCTGGCCCAAAAGACCAAAAATGGTATGTTCACCCTCATATGCGGACATTAGATCAAGGGCAAACACAACAAGGGGATTGGACTTTGAGCACATGATAAAAGCGAGAGCACACAAGGGAGGGGTGAGGATAGGTAAGACACCTAAAAAATTAGCTAGCATTTGTTGCCCTTAACGCAGAGAAACTAAAGCAGATACTTAAAAGCAACTGAGGCCAATAGGAAAAGGGGACCAGGAGCTAGAGAAAAGGTGAGATCAAAAAGAATTAACCTAGAAGGTAACACACACGCACAGGAAATCAATGTGAGTCAACTCCCTGTATAGCTATCCTTATCTCAACCAGCAAAAACCCTTGTTCCTTCCTATTATGCCTTATACTCACTCTACAACAAAATTAGAGATAAGGGCAAAATAGTTTCTGCTGGGTATTGAGGGGGTGGGGGGGAAAGGGAAGGGGCGGAGTGGGTGGTAAGGGAGGGGGTGGGGGCAGGGGGGAAGAAATGAACCAAGCCTTGTATGCACAATATGAATAATAAAACAATTAAAAAAAAAAGGGCTGGTGGAATGATTCAAGGTATAGGGTGTGAGTTCAAGCCCCAGTACCACAAAAAAAAAAAAAAAAAAAAAAAAAAAAGGGAGAGAGAGAAGAGAGAATACAATACAGGAAATATACAACAATAAATCAGGTGGTATGGCATTTGGCAGTTGGATTCCAACAACACACAGCCCGGGCCTGGGGCAGTGGCCTTGGGGTAATCACCTATAAGGGCACTCAAAGGCCTGCTCTTCCCCTTCTCTCCTCAAGCAGCATTTTTTCACATCTCCACTAAGGTGCTGAAAGGTGAAGCAGTAGTGCTAGTTGAGGTCAGAGAACAGTGCATGGTGGGTAAGGCAGAGCCCAGCAGTACTATTTCCAACTAGAACAGGGTTTCCCTGCCTGCCCGCTGGGCTTCTGGGACAAGCACCTGGCTGGTGGATGGGGAAGGTTTTAGAGCCAGCCAGACGTGGGCTATGACATCCAGCTTCAGACACCAGCACACCTTGGGAAGTCACTTCACTTTCCATGCTTCTCTCTCAACTGTATTGCAAATAATCACAGTACGAATAGCTACCACTAGTTCAAATGCAGGAACATTTGGCCTAATTATCTCACTTAGTCCTTGCAATCTTCCAGGAAGCAAAATGGAGATTATATTAAATAGGGATGTCTTCAGAATTGAGACATGTCTAATGCCTGTAAGTTGCCCAACTGATTTTGGTACTGAGAATACCACTTCCCCACTCAGCTTTGAGTTCCTGGGGTCTTCTGAGAGTCCAGGGACAATGCTCACTATACTGACCACACAATATTCATTAAGCTGGATGAGTGGTCCCATAGTCTACAGGCCATGTACAGGGGGACCACAATGCTTGAATTTTGTTTTTTCTTTTTTTGCAGTACTAGAGTTTGAACTCAGGACCTACACCTTGACCCACTCCACCAGCCCTTTTTTGTGTGTGTGTGATGGGTTTTTCGAGATAGGATCTTGCAAACTTTTTGCCCAGGCTGGCTTCAAACCACGAGCCTCCTAATCTCTGCCTCCTGAGTAGCTAGGATCACAGGTGTGAGCCACCAGTACCAGCCTTGGAATTTCTTGAAGAACAGGCAAGGAGAAGATGCCAGAAAGGTTTGTCCTTCACAAATCTTTGATTCAATAAGGATCTACTGAGCAGACAAAACAGCTTAAACATGTCATTGCAGATGGAATGAATGCAAATGAAGAACACGGGAGGGACCATACTGCTGGAGATCTCAGCGTCTGGGAGAAAAGAGGTCTGGGTTCTAGTCCTCACTCTGCAGCTGATTACTTCCATGACTTCAGATGCCTTATTTAAACAGTTTTTAAGTTTGAGTTTCATCAACTCTCCAGTGGCGGGGGGGGGGGGGGCAAACTAGTAGTTCCTTCACTTCCTAGGACTGTTGTTTAGAACAAATAAGATAAGCTATCTGGGATGCTTAGAACAGTGCAGAGGACATGACGAACATTCTACAAGTGCTAACTATTGCTATTAGCTTGATGACCAGCACACTGTAAGCATATCAACCATCTACCATGTGTTATTATTGCTCTGGAAGTAAAATCTTAACCAAAGGCCTCACAGTGCACAAGGGAAACCTCCAGAGCATTTTCAGGCCCTGCTTTGACGTTCCTTGACTGGGGTCTCAGTGTATCTGCCTGTCACTGTCACCACCATCCAAGGACCTGCAACCATCATGGGCTGCTGAGGTTGGTGCTCTCACCTGAGCTGCAGGGAAGAGATGCTCCTTGTCCAGCTGGGCCGCAATGGGAACCAGCTCCTTCTCGGCAAAGTCACGGCATGTCTGACGTAGCATCTGGTGTGTCTCGGGCAGTTCCACAGACTGGTAGATAGTATGTAACCTCCGCCAGTCCCGAGGACAAAGAGCTGCCAGAAGGAAAAGCAGGAGTCGGTGGAAGGAGAATTAAGAGAACCTGAATAATAACTACTAATAATAATCACAATCTACTAACTTAGAGAGTCTTCACCAGGGATGATTTTGTTCCCTCATCCCATCCCTAGAGTCATCTGGCAATGTCTGGAGGCATTTTTGGTTGTCACAACTAAAATGAGGAATGCTACTAGTATCCAGTACAGAGACGCCAGGGGCACTACAAAACATTCTGTCATACACTGACAGCCTCCACCACAAAGAACCATCTGTCCATGCTGGGTGCAGTACCCAGGCCAGCTACTCAGGAGGCTGAGGCAGGAGGGTCACTTGAGCAGGAGTTCTAGGCCAGCCTGGGCAATATAATGAAACCCTGTCTCTATATATAAACTCTCTCCAAATGTCAACAGAGGTGCTGTTGAAAACCCCAGGCTAACTGAACGCTTGCTGTGTTCCCCGAACACTTTTCATTCAACGCTCAGTAGAGTGTCAATTATAATAACACCACAGCTCTGTGACCTTAGACAAGGGTTTTAACTTTATTGAGTCTCACCTTCTATAAAATGTGGACACAATAGCACTCAGCTCCTGGGAGTGGGAGGATTAAAGAAAAAAATAGCCATAAGCACTAAAACCTAAGGTCTAAGATCCAGACCAAGGTTTCTCTTTATTGTTATTACTCAGCATGAGATCTGGATCAACCAAAAGAAGCCTTGTGTCACTGCTGCTACAGCTGGGACAAAGAATAAGATGGGGAAGCTTCTGTATCAAATAATCCACACCTGGTGTGGTGGCTCACCTCTAATTCCAGCTATCTGGGAGGTGGATTTGGGATGATCACATTTTGAGGGTCCCTCCCGCAAAGTTGGTGAGGCCCAGGTCTGTAGGGTGCTCCTGTGCTCCAGGCCCAGGATTCAATCCCCATCAGGGAGAGAGCGGGTCTATACACCTGTTATATGCCCGACACTGACTTCCAACAACTCTCTGGCAATACCAACAGCTCACTGTGGCCATTTTACACTTTGGTCAACTGAGGCTGGGAGGGGCCTAGAGTCCTGTCCAAGGTCACAGATCTGAGCCGAGGTTCAATGGTAGGCCTAGCCCTGGGGGAAAGGCGCACCCAGAACCTGCGGTGGGGATGAAATGCGAGGCAGGGGTGTGGATGCAGCCGCGTGAACGGGGCTGGCGGTGGGGGTCCCACAAGAGTGCGGGGTGGGGTGGCGCCAGGATCCCTGAAGGGCCAGCCGGGCCAAGCGGGCCAGGCGCCCCGGGACGCCCATCTGGGGCAAAGGCCGCGCGCGCGCTCTTAGCAGGGGTTCAGCCCGCCCGCCCCGGGATCTCCGCCCGCGCGGCCGGCCCAGTAGTGCGCAGCCCAAGCGCACTCACCTCTGCGGAGGGGGCCACTGGCCCGGACGAGCAGTGCGGCGGCCATGGACGACAGACAGGACGCTGGCCTTCCGCTCTGCGACCTCGGGTAGTGAGCGCGCGGGTTCCAGACTGCGAGGGGCGGGGCCGGCGCAGAAGCCACGCCCCTTGGGTCGCGGGGGCGGGGCCGTGGCGCGCCTGCGTTCCACCGCCCGAAGCCTCCCCACCACCCCATGGAGATGGGCTAAACTTTCTTGCAGGATTTCGAAAGCTTCCAAAGTCGGTCGGCTTGTCGTCCGTGCTCTCGTCCTTTAGTGAAAGTACTAACAGAGCAGAGCCACGGTTGTGCCTCGCAGAAAGGCCACAGAGATCTTTAGCAACCCTCAAAAGCCGGGTGCGGTGAGCTCTTGTAGTCCCAGCTACGAGGGAGGGGAAGTCCGAAGGATCGCTCCAGCCCAGGGGTTCTGGGCCAACTCGGCTTAATCCTTCACATCCAAGGATCCATATCCCCTAAACTCCAACTCCATGGCCTAATGAGTTCTTGAGCCCTGTCTACCCACCTCTTCAGCTCAGGCTAACCGTTCCCTGGCTGGCTTTGCTCCAGCTGCACAAGGCAAGCAGCTTTCCTTTAAAGTCTGCAGCTTCCTTCTGCCCGGAACGTTCTTCATTCAGGGCTCCCTCCCCCAGGCTCCCCCGCCAGTGTTTCTCCTGCAGTTTTCCATCCATCCTATTTATTCTTCTATTTTAAGATTGTCGTCCTAGGTATCTAATTGGAGGGCAGAGCCCTGTTAGGAGCAGGGGTACTGCTCCCTAATGCCATGCAATTTGATCCCTTGCATCCTCTGGATGCCTTCACACTCTACCCAGGAACTGTGATGGTGTCACTTGCCCCACAGGTTCTGCTCTTGGCACAAGTATGAATCTGACTTCCAGACCCTTCTGGCACCCCCACACACACCCCTCCCCAGCTGCTTTTCTCCCCTTAACCCAGCCACATGCCTATCCCCAGCACTGACCCACACTCCAAAAATCCCATGTTCCTCCAAGACCTAGCTCCACTTCCTAAGGACAAAAGATACAGCAAAGTCCTTGGTATGTTACCTTTCAATTATAAAAACGTGTTAAAAAAAAAAAAGCCTCTCAATCCAGTGATTTAAAATCAAATGTCTGTCATTTGCCAATACTGTATTCCTCACCTTCGGGTCATCCTACCCACCTGGGCACCAGCCCTGGGTGGAAGATGAAAAAAGCAGGACTAAATGAACCATGTCTGTGAGTACCTCCACAAACTAACTAAACCACTCTTACTATTTTTGGTACTGGGGATGGAACCCAGGGTCTTGAACTAAGCACAAGCTCTACTACTGAGCTAAACTCCCAGCCCTATTTTAAAATTGTATTGGTTGTGACAAGAGTTTCTGTTAGAAGAATACACGTTTTCCCAGAGACAGAATTGGACTGGTTACAAGAAGCTGGGACATAATTTCAAAAAAAACCCCAAAAAACGGAAAAAGAGGCTGGAGCAGGGGGGATTGGCTGCAAACACACTGAACTCAAGGGAAGTTTGGGGTTGGCTGTGATGAAGTATCCCCTATCATGACTGTATGCATTTGTCAAAATGCATCAAACTTTTTTGCAGTGTGGGAGTTTGAACTTAGGGCCTGACATGCTAGGCAAGCATTCTGCCACTGAGCTACACCCAGTCCAAACTGCACTTTTTTCTGTTTGAGACAGGATCTCACTATATAGCTAGGTGGCCTCAAATGCAAGATCCTTCTGCCTTGGCCTCATGAGTGCTGGGATGACAGGTGTGGGTCACCACACCTGGCTCCAGTGTAACATTTTTTGTTTTGGTTTGGTTTTTTGACAGTACTGGGAATTGAACACAGGGCCTCGCTCTTACCACTTCAGCAAAAATGTCAGCCCCAAACTGTACTTTTAAGTAAGATGAATGTAACTGTCAAGTATACCTTAATAAAACGGCTTTTGAAATAAGTATGTCAAATTTTCAACTCCCAAAGCCCTCCAGCAAAATATAAAACAAAAATATTAAATGTAAAGCACAGTGGTGCTCAATACCCTGGAAACCAGCTGTGCTCATTCAGCAGAAAGCCCATGCAATAGGGGAGGAAACTGGGGGCTCCACCCCACCCTATGCCTCAGCAACTTCAGGGGCCCAATCAGGAGACAAGGCAGGTTAGACGTACTGTGAAAATCTTTCTTTTATTTCTGTCCCTTGTGGCAAAATAACATTTTGTACAAATAAGTCACCTACTTTAATTTGGACACAAAGACAATACAAACTGGAATGTGGATCATGGCGAAGTGGGAAGGAGGAGGAAGGATAGATCAGGTCATTGATGTTTCTCATATTCTGTGAAAAACAGATTTATAGGGAAAAAATAGACTTTCACAACTTCAATGACTTTACATGATCCTTTGTAAAACAAGGGGTTGATCCATCGCCACCAGATCCTCCTTGTGGCTAAAATGTTCTTGACATGGAATGTAACATGATGGTTCAGTGGGTATGGCAGCACCTTCCACAGCAGGAACCCTTGGCACTGGCAAGGAGTGTATGCTGAGATTTGTAGGACACTATCTCCATTCCCAAACCTCACTGATGTAACAATGACATGCAGAAGAAAGTGACTTTACAGAAGAGGGCGGAGAAAAAGAGTACTCTGGGAGCCTACCAGGGTGACAAGGATGCAAAAAGGCAGTAGTCCTCACTGTTTGCCCATTAGACACAGCTAATTAGATCCAGTCCAGAAATGGGATCCACCTCAACTGAAAAACTAAGTTGAAGATTCCCAGTCATCCCATTTCCAGAATCACCAGTCTACAGTCAGCCCCAAGGATCTGCAAATCACTGTCCCCAGGTATTGGAAATAAGATCCCAAAGCCCAAGGAGTCTCTAGGAAGTACACGCCCTTGAAGAATATTTTCTTTGCAAATTAGCTCTGAGCTAACATGAGAGATGACTGTTGAGACAACTGCGGAGTTCGGCCCCAACTACCTGCAGTCCCAAGTTTCCAAGTTTATGGTTTAGAACACAGAATGAAACCAGGATCATCTTTGGAGAAACTGGAAGGGCAGCAGAGCCCGAGGTTTACATAGGAGAGGAAAGGCCCTCTCAGGGAGATTCCAAGGCAGAGGAACAAGGAGAGAAGTGAGGCAGAGGCCCCCACTCACTGCTGGAATGAATTCCTTCCAGGAGCTGCAGCTTGAAGACCACTTTTGATAAAAGGCACGGTCTCCCCCCACAGGGAACTTGGGTTTTCTCTCCCATTTGTATCACCTGCAAGGTAACTGCTATCAGCAGTCCAGATTTCTCAATAGCATAGCCTCCTGACTCAACTTCTGATTGGCTCAATTACCTTCACAGAAAGTATCACTTCCAGTTCACTCAATTCAGGTACAAAAAATTTGAATTTTGAACTCCTCCCAGCCAACAACCAGAGTGGTAATGGTTTCTCTAGATTTCCCAGGCAGATAGACAGAGGGCTCCAAAGCCTGAACACAGAACACTGGGTCTTCAGCAGCAGAGGATTGCAAATTCCTGTCCTGCTGGACACAACTGAGCACTTGGCCTTGAAATGGTCTGCAGTGAGACGAAAGTGAGCTAACAAGGTAGGGGATACAGCACCCCTCAGGCCAGAGTGCCTACCTCCTCCATCCTGCAGGGGCTCTTCCTAACAAAAGCCAACACTACAGGTAACAGCCAGCACACTTATATACATGAGACAGCCTGCTCTGGGACACGGTTTCAAGACACACTCTATTAAGCAGATCTTTGGACAGATTCCCCAAAGTACATTCTTAGGTAGTATTTAAATCTTGGATTGCAGAACCTGTCCTAATTAGGCTTCTGTCACTGAGAGGAGGTGGCATTCTAAAGCTTGACAGAAACATGCAAATTCCATTAGAGGAGCCACAATGAGAACCAGCAGGTGAGGAGACAGTGCTGATGTCTTGTCCACAGGTGAGGAGGGAACAATGGCAATGCAGCTGTCCCCAGCAGCATATGGAACAGAGCAACACTTAACAACACCTGGATTTGGAGTGGATTCCAGTTCTGAGATTCACCAGTCTAGTGATGAGGCACTCACAGGGCACCTGGTTTCTTCTCTCCCTCAGTGGATGAATCCAGTAGCCAGAATGAAGAGTAAAGCTGCCAGCAAGTGACAATACCGATTCTCTGGCCAAAGAGCACTGGCCCAAAGTTCAAGGCCACTCACGGTCTAGAAGCCGACAGGGAGCATCACTGCCTGGAGAATGCAGAGCAGCTTCTAGGACAAATTGCTGGCCTATTTTCCTCTGGTCCCACCTGGCCTTTCTCCCAAGCACCTCAGAACACAGCTCTCGTTGTACGTACTGTGATGCCTCACAGTGACTTATGGCACACCTGGACCCTTGCCTCTATCAATGCTAAACGGACCTCAGCCACAGCAGATGGTCTTGGAGTCTGGGCTGAGCACATAAACCAACCACACAGACAACCTAGGGTGCAGAAGAGGTGGGAGTTTGTCTGATGAGGACTGAGGACAAGCGCAGCCCACAGGAAGCACAGGCAGCTATTTTGAGAAGATTTCACTCTGACAAGCTACCTCAGCCTATTTCATCCTTTCCAAACACAAGAAACAATTCCAACCAGAAGCTCAAAGGATCAGAATATGCATTAATTAGCTCTGGCTTGCCAGATGGTTCCACAAACTACTTCAGTTAGAAACTATTTTCTGGTGGGTAAGAAACCCTTAAGAAACCCATGAAGAGTTTTGGAGGCACACCCCCTTTAAGCCAATCCTCCAGGCTCTGCTGTATAAAGATCTTATCTCTCTTTAAAGCAGCTGCTGGTGTGTAACTACACCTCCCCTCCATGTGAGCCAGATTAGCCCCAGAAGCAAATTAACTTCTGATAAGACGTATAACCACACATCACATGCTCTGAAAACACCACTGACATTTTGTAAGAACTCCCCGAAAGAAGTCTGAAAAAAAAAAAAAAATCAAAATACAAAAGGCCTGTTCTGGTCTGGAGAGACGCCATATGCCATGAGCCAGACTGACACATTCCACTCTGGGAAATGTTCACAAGTGAGGAGCCAGGAGAAGCAGAGCAAGCTGGTATGTCCTCCGGAATGAGAATGAGAACAAGAAGGCACCACCAGGTTAAAACCTTGGGTCTGTGCCCGGAGGACTTGCTGAGGATCCTAGAGTCAGATAAGCAGCCTGCCCATAAAATGGGTCTTTCAGTTTGGCAGCAACTCCCATCCCTAGTGCCTCAGCTCTTGCCACCTCCTTCTCTCCAGTCACTTTCAAGTTTCTTCCAGTTGGTATAAGACTGTGTCAAGGCTGAGGGCAGGCCATGCTGATGGCAACACCAGAACTAAGCAGAGGAGGTGCACAAACGAGGCCTACCTGCAGCACCCAGGAATGTGGAGAAGGGTCACTACCCTGCAGGTGGGCCCGGCCACAGCCCTTTCACCCAGGCACAGCTGGCCTGGAGAGACAGGCTTGTCAGGATAACCAGCAGACGGCTAGAACTACATGGAAATAAACTCTTTTTTATCTAGGTACCAAGAGCTTTGTCCTAATTTTTTACTTTACTATAATACCTCTGTGACCTAAAGGGCAGGGGAAAAGGAAAGAGAAATACTGGGGGAAAAAAACACAGCGCTGCTTGGCACCTCCTTGGAGCACAGGAAACTGCCACCCCAGCCATGCTTCCTGGAGCAGATTCCAGATGGATGTTAACACACAGAAACTGCAATCCCCTCCATGTGCCAAGGCCTCACAACAGCAGAAAAGTGCACCCCCTGTCCACTCCTGCAGCAGTTACTGGCCTCCATTATATGCATAATCAGCTTTGTTGTGCATTATCAGCTTGTTGTCAACAAAGTAGAAGCTGTCAGAGCGAGTCTCATAAGGGTTTTCAATCATCAGACGAACTGCAAGTGGGAGAAGGGGAAAAAAGTGGAGTTATAGGTGAGTCTGTTCCATGGAGAGGTAGGAAAAACTTAGTATCCCCTCCAAAATTCATAAGCCATTCTCTGGGAGACCAGAGACCCCCCCCCGCCAAACATGATTTCCACTTCAATATGAGGATGTAATCAACACCTTGGTCATTCCCAGGTGACTGGGTTCCTCCAGTCACTATCTTAGGAAATGTACTCATCCTGTTGCCAAGCCTAAACAGTCCAGGCTGCTTATTACTCAGTGCTCTCAGCCAACCCAAGCCAGTTCTGGCTTCTGGTCTGCTACCCATCTCTAGACATTCAGTGCAAATCCAGAAAGCTGTGTCTCACTGTGCCCACTTCTATGGGCACCCAACAGCCAAAAGAACTATAGATAAGAAAGTGCAAAGGAATAAAGAACAAGGAACCCTCTCTAGAGATGGCTCGGTTATTCACGTGCTAGAAATCTGACCAGAGGTCTGCCTGCTTTGGGATCTACATTTAAGCCTTCCACTTGTTCACACAGTTGCCCAGACCTCTTTCCCCATACAGGAAAGTAAAGATAATTAACACTCTGTCCAGTTTTGGATTAATGATTACAAGCCACCTTAAATCCTCTGGAGAAAATGCTACTGCTCACCACTGTCCTCAAAAGGTGACACCAACTTTTCAAGCTATTTGAACCCATTCTAGCCAAAGCTATTTGGTTTACATTCATATTATTGCCCTCAAGCCCTTTTAGCTATTTGGCTTCATGGGCAAAACTTTTCTTGCAGATATCTACATAGTCCACCAACTGGGGAGAGAAGCTTAAGCCAGAATCAGATGCTCTCACAAATGCCGTCCCACATCTCAGCAGTCTACACGTTACCTGGGAACACTACTGTCACACTGGTTTTCAGAATATGCCGTCTTTAAGACTTGGGATTCTGAGAAAACTGGTCAATGTGTGGATTCTTCCCCACAATACAACTAAAGGCAGTGTTCGTAGGATTCCACTCCGCACGAATGTTCTGAAGCAATCTTCCAGAACTACTAGCAAAGGATGCTACCACAATCAGCAAGACTAAAGTCCCATGACCTGATAAGCTGTTCTTTCCCTTCTACTCAGTCCATATCTTCCCTTGTCTTCACTGCACAACAGCTTCCTCCCTCTGGTGACCTCTAGTTCCATCTTCATGGAACTGCAGAACTCCTCTTTCTAAAACTGTGCTTCCACCACCTCCCTTGTCCTGCTCCCTAGGTCTTGCTAGTCCTAGTCTAATAGTTTACCTCACCAATCCTCTATCCTACAGAGAATGGGAGTCGGTCCCTAGGCTTTTTTTTTTTTTTTTCCCTGTGGGACTGGGTTTGAACTCAGGGCTTTTGCAGTTGCAAAGCATATGCTCACAAAGCAGATGCTTTACCACTTGAGCTATGCCTCCAGTTCATTATACTCTGGTTATTTTGGAGATGGAGTCTCCCAAACTCTTTGCCTAGGTTGGTCTTGAACTGTGATACTCCTGATCTCAGTCTCCCAAGTAGCTATGATTACAGGCAAGAGCCGCTGGTGTCCGACTCCCAGGTCTTTGATTTAATTTAGCCTGCAGTTTCACATCTGGTTCTGTTTAAGGAAAAAGTGAAGAGCCAATGAATAGGATACAGCAGAAGCAATGACTAACAGTGGGGAGGGGTGGTGCTTTATCTACTGTAGTCCCAGGCCTCCTTTATCTCCCTTAGGCATTCCTTTTCCCATAGCAGGTGTCTAAAAAGATGGCCTATGTTATTATATCCTTCGCCGCTCCTGAGGTTGAGTTAGTCTGAAACACGAGACAGGAGCTGTAGGAAATGAGAAGCCCAAGGTCAGACCCCTGGTTCCACATTGTGTCACTACCGCCCTCCTCTGCCAACTGAGGCTGCTGACCAGACGGGTTTCAAGGTCCATTCCTTCCAGCCCTCAGCAACTAGAATGCTATAAGAGTCAGGGAATACATACTGACATCCTCAGAAAGCTGCGGAAACTCGTAGATATGCTCACAAGTGTTCCTACTGCTGGGAATGCAGAAGCCGAAATCAAAGTCAAAGTTTTTCAGCAAGCGTTCCCGGAAATAGTGTCGTTCAATCATCCGGAAGTTTGACACAGGTTTGTCTCCTACTGTGAACTCCACCCTGCAAAAAAATAAATCTCTGTGAGCCCTACTTTTTGCCTTCTTCCTCCTCTAAAGCCAACCCCAAACCCAGTGGAGCACATTCTTCCCATGTGAACAAGCAGAATGTTCTCACTCGGGAAATAATCGTACTCACGTGGCACCAACTGTCCGCAGGCGGAGAAATGCTGGTGTGAACTGATAGCGGACAAAGCGTCCTGCACTGATGTCCACATCTCCACCCTCATCCTCCTCATCTTCTTCCTGGTCTGAAAGAGCACAGAGAACTCTGAGTACACCCTCTGGGCACCACCAGTCCACACAGCACGATGATAGCCACTGACACACCAACAGTGAACATGGCCCCTATTTATTGTGTATACCTGCTGTACGCCAGGCTCTATGCCAAGGCTTCATAGATTCCACCCAGCAGCCCTGTGCAGATCCATTTCACAGATGAAGAAGCTCAAGTTCAGAGAGGTTAAGTCGTAAGTCCAAAGTCCCCAAACAGAAAATGGAGGGAGAGAAACTTGAATGTAGGCCCATCTAACTGGAAGCGTATTCTTAAACACAAAGCAATTTGCCTTTTATATAATTTGGGGTTTGGGTCTACCCTAAAGCTGAAGCCTGAAACACAAGTGGGGTAACAGGTGTATGACTTGGTTTAGACTATACAAACTAGGTCTGCTATTGGCCAAGTTTAAGTGCTAGCCACTAACCAAAAGAATAAAACTACAGAAGTTAAAACTGGTCCAAAGTGCCTTAAGTAACACACACATTTCTGCCAGGCACTGGTGGCTCATGCCTGTAATCCTAGTTACTCAGGAGGCAGAGATCAGGGAGATTATGGTCTGAAGCCAGCCCCGGGCAAATAGTTTGGAGACCCTATTTCGAAAAAACCTATCACAAAAAAGGGCTGACAGAGTGGCTCAAGTCTAGCAAGTGTGACGCCCTGAGTTCAAACCCAGTGCTGCAAAAAAAAAAAAAAAAAAAAAAAACCCAGCCAAACAAAAAAACCACACATTTCTGATAGGCAGCAAACTATTAGAAATAACTGTGTTACTTAAATTGAAGACACTGACCTACAGTCCTGAGGTATTACACTTGCTTGGGGTGATGTCTACTCCAAGCCATTCCAGGCCCAACCCTCTGACCACCTGGGAAAGGGTGAAGCAGATTGGTAATGAACAATGTGTGGGACATCCACAAGATTTATACTCATCTCTGGATCTAGTGCTTTGTTGAACCCAAGAAATGAAAGATTGATAAAATGAATCAAGGAACTGTTGTCATATAAACAAAGCGTTATTACTTCCAATGTTCAGAAAGGGTATTTTCTCCAGGTCTAAGCTGAACATGGGTTCCTGTGGCGTCAAACATCTCTGCCTGTGACATCCCAAGAGCACAAGGCAGCCAGACTAAAGAGGGGCTCATATGCAGATGCTGAGAGGCCTGACTCCACCAACATGATTCAAAGTCATCAGAACAAGCACTGATGCACTGGGCCTGGGGACATGCCAAGTGAAGACCCTTAAATGTGAATGCTGGGGAGGATGGAAATCCAGCTACTTTACAGAGCAACTGCAGCTAACTTTTTTGAGACAGTTGAACTTTTTCTGGCAGTACTGAGGTTTGAACTCAGGGCCTTCTGCTTGCTAGGCAGGTGCTCTACCATTTTAGCCACTCTGTCAACTCTTTTTTGTATTGGGTATATTCAAGATAGGGTCTCTCAAACTATCTGCCCTGGCTGGCTTCGAACCATGATCCTCCTGATTTTTGCCTCCCAAGTAGCTAGGATGACAGATGTGAGCCACTGGTGCCCAGATGAGATAGCTGAGTTGAATTCTGTATTGCAATGACTAATCTGAGCCCAGTGTAATCCAAATCCACACACCTACAGCAGCCCCCGGGGTCCTTAAAATATCCTAAGTAAAGGGATGTGTACTTTAGGGATGAGAACACAGACCCAGGAAATTAGATGGCCCTGACCTAACTATCCCAACGTAAGTAAGTACCACAAGCTTTAGCTTTTAGGTGCCTTGGTCAGTACTGAATTATGATAGTATTAACAGGGGTTGGGCCAGGGCTCTAACCTTGGTTTTATAATTCACTGAGCTGACAAAGTCTTTTTTTTTTAATGGGCCTGGGGTTTGAACTCAGGGCCTCACACTTGCAAAGCAGGTGCTCCCAAAATAGGTATTCTACTGCTTGAGTCACATATCCAGTCCATTTTGCTCTGGTTATTTTGGAGATGAGATCTCTCAAACTATTTGCCCGGGCTAGCTTTGAACTTGAACCTCGATCTTCTGACTTTTAACTACTTTCCAAGTAGTTAGGTTTATAGGCATGAGACTCTTTGAGCCACGGGCACCCAGGTTTTTTTTTTCCCTCAGTGCTAAGGATTGAACTGACTTCAGTCATGCCAGGTAAGTGCTCTACTACTGAGCCTCATCTGCAGTCCAGGAAAGTCTTTCAACTTCTCTGGGATACCTATCTACCTTACCAAATTTTCAGCTCTGAGTAGCAAACAAATGAGAAAAACTTTGCAAAATAAGTTATCATTACAGCAAGGTTGACATGGAGGATGTGTGCCAGTATTCTAACAAATGACTAACTCCAGGGGGCGCCAAATCTCCACTAATGTGCTCCAAAGACTTCTGTGATCTCCTGACCAGAAATGAATCAACCTGGAACTGCATCACAAGTATAAGAAGTGGCTATTCAAGACTAATTTAAGGAATCCCAAGTAGACGAGTTCATGGATCTGTTCTTCCAGAAAATGTGGACATTAAAATCCAAAATAGGGCTTCCAGTAGCAGTCTGGAGAAGGGGTGGAAGGTGGCATGTCTGTCTACAAAGGTGACAAGAAGCTCCTGAAACAGGCCAAGGAGATAGATGGAGAAGATAAGGACTTCAAGCAGAAACAAAAAGAGAAGCAGAGACAACGCAAGGAACTAAGAGCAAAGCTATGGAAAAGAGCCGCCTGGCCACATATGGTCTAAAGAAATCTGGCAAAAAGTAAGCTGTTCCTGTGACCCTTGACTTGGTTCCTATTAAACATCTTGTTTCCCTGCCATAACATCTTCTGCCTACTATAGCTAGGAAGAAGTCTTGTCTTAGAGCCTGTTGTGTATTTAAGAATCAACATTTGTTCAAAAAAAAAAAAATCCAAGCTGGGCATGGTAGCACACACCTGCAATATCAGAATTCAGGAGGCTGAGGCAAGAGGAGCATGAGTTTGAGGCCAATCTGGGCTATACAGCAAGATCCTATTTCCAAAAAAATAAAAAAATAAATTTAAATATATATATATATACACATATACACACACACACATACATACATACTTGTATATATTTTTAAATAATATATCTCCAAACCAAGACTTACTTGAAAACTCAAGACACTATTTAAAAGCAAGTAAGATGGATAAAAGATGGGGGCTGGAAGTATGGTTCAAGTGGTAGAGCACCTGCCTAGTGACTGAGTGCAAGGCCCTTTTCCTGATTGGAATTCAAACCCCAGCACTGCAAAAAAAAAAAAAAAAAACATGGGTAAAAGTGCTTCATGGTCTGAACTACAATCTTTAGCATCACCCTTCCAGAGAACTCAAGGCTTAGAGTTTTCCTCATTGTTTTTGTTTTGAGTGGTTTTATTTGTTTTGTTTTTTGGGGGTTTTTTTGGGGCAGTACTGGGGTCTCAACTTCAAGGCCTTGCACTGGGTAGGCAGGTGCTCTACCACTTGAGCCATGCTATCAGCCCTTTTTGCTTTAGTTATCTTTTGAATGGGGGTCTTGAGCCTGGGCCAGCCTGGATCACGATCCTCCTTTTTATGCTTCCCACAGGTGCACACCACCATGCCCAGATTTTATTGGTAGAGATGGGGTCTCAGTAGGTAACTGTTTGCCCAGGCTGGCCTTAAAACTCAATCTTCCTGAATTCCACCTCCAAAGCAGCTAGGATTATAGGCATGAGCCACCACACCCAACTCTCAATACTGTTTAATTTCAAGGATTCTGGACTGGAGGTGTGCTGAAGTGGTAGAGTGCCTGTTTTACAAGCACAACACCCTGAGTTCAAATACTAACCCCCACCCAAAAAAAAAAAAAAAAAAGTCTCCAAGGATTCCTTTCCTGATTGGAGACCATGTAATGAAAGAGCACCGTATCTTAGGAAAGCGTCAACTGGAAATGCTGGATCTTGGCTCCGTCTCTATAAAAAATCCTCAGAGGTGTGAGGATTACCTAAGGTGACATGCAAAGATGTGGATGGTGACCAGCACACAGTCAACACTCAACAAACATTAGCCTCCTGACAGCTTCACACCAGCATGCAGAGGTCATGGAAGCAGTCGTGGAAGTGGAACACAGTGGAATCCAAGAAACGGGATACAATGGCACACAGATATTTGACTTTTCAAAGATCCTTTGTTCAGACTATCAAGTGAGCCCTACAACATCAAGGCCTACCTGAAATGCAAGGTTTGGCGATCTCAAAAAGCACCGTCCCAGTCTCCAAATCTCGAATTTTGAAGCGAGTAAAATCAATACTGTAGACATTGTCTTCGGGTTTACATAAATAATCTGCAAGTGAGAGACCAACACTATTAACAATTCTCCAAAAATACCACTTTTTTAACTCTTAGGTTGTTTTTTATTTTGGGGGGTTTTTGGTGGTGCTGGGGTTTGAACTCAGGGCCTTGTGCTCTCCAGGCAAGTGCCTAATTTTCAAGTTTTGAAGCAAACTTGTGGGGGGTTCCTATGCAATTTACTTAAAAGACTCCCCACCCCCCGCAATGTTCTCTTGTATCATCATCAGCAAAACTTACACAAAGATTATATGTGATCCAAGAAAGAAAAAATTATGAGGAACTCAGTTTGGAAGAAAGATTATTAAAAAACTTTTAGGAAAGCATAGAAAAAGGGGTTTTCTTTGGAAATATGTATAACACCCATCAATCTGGACATCACAAAAGGATTGAATTTTTTTCTGTAAACTCATTTTAGGGCTGGTAGAGTGGCTCAAGTGGCAGAGCACCTGCCTAGCAAGCATGAGGCTCTGAATTCAAACCCCAGTACTGCAAAAAAAATCAAATTAGAAATTCACTTTAAAACATATATACTGGTCTAACAGATAATACAATGCTTTTTTGCCAACTGTATGAGAAAGGAGAGATCACTGAACTTTCCTATAAAGGGTCAGGTTATAAATTTAGGATTTGTGGCCACATGGTCTGTCATAACTACTCAACTGTCACTGCAGCCAAAAGCCTCCACAGACAACAGCAAATGAATTTGTGACTGCATCCGACAAAACTGTAATTATGAATGATGAAATATGAATTTTATATAATAACCATATGTCACAAGATTTTAAAATTTATTTTCAGCCAAGCCACTTAAAAATGTAAAAACCACTTAGTCTGTGGGCTATCCAAAATCACCCAGTGAGCCATGCATACAAGGCAGAGGATAAACGTGCCAGTGAGAGCATTAGGTCAAAGTAAAGGAGAGCCTACAACAACCTGAGGAGCTAATACAGTACCAGTCATAGAAAATTTCCTTGCTTTACAAGACGACTCCTGACAGCATCTTCATTGACACGTTAGCTTAGATTGTTTTTTGTGTTAGCTGTTTCATGTTTTACAAGCTGTCTCCAGTAAGATGGCAAACTTGAGAGCTGCTGACTATTCGGTTAACTCCAAAACAGGCTGATATCTACGCCTTTAGAGGATACCCAATAAATAACAGAACAGATGAGACTTTAAGCTGACTAACAAAAATCAGAGGTCACCAAGTTCTGACCTGTGGCTCTCACGAAGGAGCTGCAGAGGTGGGTTTTGTGGCTATGGCACCACTCCCAAGCCCCCAAATGGTACCTTGAGTGGACTCAGAGAATGCTGCTTGGGCCACCCATCAGAGGGGTCTAATTCACCCATGGTATCGGAAGCAAGCAAAGTAAGCATGAGGAGAGGTCATTTCTGTACTCTGAAAGCCCCAGTGAAAACTTAAAACAGAAATGGCTTTTTCACCATTATCCAAAATCAAATTACAACTGTTTTAGGAGCTGGGGACTCCCTTTTGCACAGCTGAACCAAGACCCACAACCTACAAACTCCAGCAATCTTACGTACACCTGAGCAGCCCTGAGCTGAGTAGAGGGGACTTCAACGGACAACATGGCATCCTTCATGGCAGCAGGGTTTTAAGTCTACAAGGTAGCGGGTATGGGCAGGGCAAGCCAGGCCTAACCAGGTGACTTGTAAACTCCTGGGGGTAAACAGTAAAAGTGTCAAGTCAGGGCTTGGCTTGGCAGAGAATAGAAAGAGGGAGATCATTTTGGACAGGGAGTGGACAATTTATTTCTTCCCTCCCTTATGTCAAGGAAAGAGACAGAATGGGTGTCTTTTATGTAAGAATAACATTTCTGAAACCCTGATATAATTCTTCATTCCCTAGGAAAAAATGTCAAGAGCAAAATTCACGTGGTAGGAGTTTGTACATACACTAAGAGTTTACTAGTATCTTTTTCTGTAGCAGTTTTAAAATTTCCTCGATATGCACGGCCATGTGTTTTGGAGAAGGAAGAGCCCACCTGCATACAAAAGGGCGATGCTAGGTGCCAAAGAAGGGAGGAGGCCCAGACAGCTGGGCCCAAGCACAGGGAAAGGCGGAGACAGCAGGTAGGGATCTGGCGCGGCAGAGGGCTGCGGAAGCAGGGGGGAGACCCGTGTTGGGGGGCCTGATTGGGCGGAAACTCTGCTGATGGCTAGGGAGGGGAGTCCCAAACTAAGGGACCCTGGCCCTGGTCGGCTCAGAAGGATCCGGTTCAGCCGAACGGAGCTCAGTCCCCAATCAGGTCCAGCTGGGTGGCTGCAGTGGGGCCGGCCGAGAGAAGAAAGCCGTGCGTGGTGAGACTCGGGGGCCCGACACCATCAAAACCAAGGAGAACCCCCTCCCCAGCAGGTCCAGGCGGGGGAGGTGGGGGCTGAGCCGGCCAGAGAGCAGGGGAAGCGCGGCCTGGCCGGCCGAGGGGGCCTGGGCGGCCCCGGCGCAGGTCGAGCGGCGCGGCCCGCGGAAGGCTGGGGGTCCCGGCGCGAGGGGAGAGCGCGGCCCGCCTGGCACTCACTCTCGGTGACCCGGCCGAGGCGCAGGACGTGCTCCGGCCGGATGGTGTCCAGCGCCAGCAGCTCCTGCTCAGTGACCGCTGCCCCGAGGCCGTCGTCGGCCGCATGGTGAGGCACTTGCCGCCGAGCCTTGAGCCGGTTCAGGACGCCACCACCCGCCTTCTTCTTCTCCTCCTTGCCAGCCACCAGCCCCCGGGGCCCGGCAGCCGAGCCCGCCGCCGCAGCCTTCGGGTTCGACCCGTTCATCGCTCCGCCGCCAAGATGGCCGCCGCCTCCGCAGCGCCGTAACTATGGAGAGAGGGGGCGGGGCCGGGGCGCCGGGGGCGGGGCCTGCGGGGAGCGGCCAGGGCTGGCTCCGCAACTTCGGTCCCCAGGTGTGGGCCAGACCTGTCTGGGATTCAAAACCCCCCCACTCTCCATCAAGCCAAGATCACCCCAAGTGCTTGAAATATGTATCTTACAGCCAAATGAATTTCTGTCAAATCAACTTGACAAAGCATCTTGAGAAAATGTTTGTTAATATCTTGAGCACAGAATGTAAGTTAAAAGTGCTTGCTATGCAAACGCAGCTTCAAGATGAGCCTTCCAGGGCTGGTGGAGTGGCTCAAGTGTTAAGAGTGCTTGACTGGCAAGCGTCAGGTCTTGAGTTCAAACCTCAGTGCCGCCAAAAAAAAAAAAAATTGAAAAAAGATGAGCCTTCCAGTTAGATTGCCGTCCCTAAGTCCTGCTGTGCCAGACCCTGGGCTAGACATTAGGATGGACTACAGGAAATGTAAGGATGAGGGCGGTATTCAGTCCGCCTTTACCGCTGCATGCCTGGCATTATAGCGGGTGCCTGACACCGGGTAAGTGCTCCGTAGGGCTTGAATAAATGAAGTCCTGAATAGTGTGTGTGTGTCTCCACCGTGGAGATCCCACATCATCAGGGAAGACTGAAGCCCACACCGTTCATCATGCGACCATTCCTCTTGACAAGTGTGTAAATAGGAACTAGAAGACAAATTGACTCTGCTGACTGCTGTACAGGTGCAGCAAAGGCGCTTGGAGAGCACACAGGAGTGGTTATTCCGACTGGTTTGGGGGTTCAGGGAGAGGTTTCACAGAGACATCTGCACTGAACCTTGGAAGTTAACCATGATTTCACCAGATGAAGGGGCCCACAGGGAAAGGTGCTTACCCCCCAAGTGGCTCCTCCTGAGATTCTGGACATGCACTCTTCTGTGCTGGAGGCCTGGGCCTGACTGCTGAATGTGATGTCATCTTTTAGCCAGACTTGGGCCTGAGTGAAATTCCAGTCCTCTGCTAATGGTCAGCCTCAAGATCTCCCTTTGCCAGACCCTGCTGTGTCCCTCTCACCTGATCCAAGGAGCTTGGGAGGGGCTCCCAAGCCTCACGTGGTTCCTGGACAAAGTCCAAACCTGACCTGGTCCCAAATGTCCAGTTGGGTGTAAAAGTATGTGACCAAGTTCCTAAGCAGTGTCCTGCCTCTGAGAGACTAGAATCCATTGGCACCAAACCTATTCAGGGAGGTTTAACAGATGTGCAAAAAACAATTACAAGTCTTTTCCTTTTGCAAGCAATTGTTTTTAAACCACTCAACAGTGAGTGGTTACTGAAAAATTTCCAGAACTTTTAATATGCTGTTTGATTGTGATTGTCAAGAGGGTTTAGCATGCAGTCATTTCCACAAACTCCCTCACTGAACTTTTGTTCTCAGAGGTCCAGGATTAGAATTACCTGCATCCTAGCTTTTATCTTTCTAGGGTCATAGCAAATGTTTTCAGTTCTCCTGTAGTCAGGAATTTAGCCTACCTGCATGCATGAATTTGCTTACTGCAGGACCATTTGTAACACTGACAAATTCCAGTAAATTCAGTTGAGTCCACATTACACAGCTGTTTTAAAGAATGTGGTTGATTTATATGTACTATATGGAAAGATCTCAAAGATGTAATAAGTGGAGGAAAAAGCAAAACAGAATTCTATTTGTTTAAAATAAGATGTAGGTATAGATGTGTATTTTGAATTGTAAAGGAAGAAGTCTGAATGTACATTAAAATGTTAACCTTGATTACCTCTGGAGAGGACAGTAGGGAAAACAAAGAATATATTCACTTTTGACACTAACACTACTTCAGTACTTATTTTGTCACAAGCAAATGATCATGGGCTACTTGTATACCTTTTTTTAAAGAAAATATCTTAGAATGGGTTGTCTGGAAGGCAGAATCTATGCCAAAGTAAATTTTAATATTTAAAAGCAACCCCAGGACTAGGAGTGTAGTTCAGTAGTAGAGCGGTAAGAGCACCTGCCTAGCAAGTGCAAAACCTTGAATTCAAACCCCAGTGCTGCCAAAAAAATAATTTAAAAAACCCTCAAAATTTCATCTTCTTTCTGTTAAAATAATAAATCTGACACATGGTTTACACCTGTAATCCCAGCTACTCAGAAGGCAGGATAGGAGCATGGTTCAAGGCCAAACTGAGCACAAAGTTAAGAGTACATCTCAACCAATAAACTGGGTATGGTGGTACATAGCTGTAATACCAGCTATGCTGGAAGACATAGGTAGGAGGACTGCAGTTGTTCCTCAGGCCCTATCTCAAAAATAACCTAAAAGCAAAAAGGGTTGGATGTGTGGCTCAAGTAGTAGAGCTCTTGTCTTGCAAGCTCAGGGCACTCATTTCAAACCCCAGTACCACCAAAACAAAAATTTAAGTTAAATAAACACTGATATAAGGGAGTCTGCGCCTGTACTCTGACCACACTACCTATGAACTGCAGTTACAAGGAATGGGCTATGTTTTAAAACAGAAAACACAGAAAAAAATTAAAAATAGTTAAATCCACTTTTTAAAGGGGTAGGAAAAACTAGGACTATGATCTCTGATCTACTTTTCTTCACCAAATTTTCCTAAGGTATGTCAAGAGGATTCTTTAAAAACATTTTTTTCTTTTTGAAAATTACATATACTAACATCTTGTTTTGGAGAGGAAGGCAAATAGAGAATTACTGTACTAAATCGTATTGCCAAGGTTTCCCAGGGCTGGACACAGGAAGCCTGGAGCAGAAAAGGCTGGCCTCCCTTTCACCCCAGCTCTGTGCTCTCAGTCCCTCCAGCCACTGTAAGAGGTTGACAGTGGCTATTTTCCAGGGCAGTTCCAGTGTAACCAGGCAGTCTGTCTCAAATCAGTCTGGGCAGGTGGGGCCCAGAGCTGGTACAGCCAAGGTAAGCAAGCCATCACAGGGTTTTCTCTGCAGAGACAGGGAAGGGCAGCCCTCCCTTCTGCGGCCTCCCCTGAGATGGCATGCACCAAGTCATGGCCAGACAGCAAGCATGCTTGTGGTCTGGTATTGAGAGCTAGTAATTTCCCTAGTAACCAAGTCACTTCACTCCCTGGCTGAGGGGTGTTTTGAAAAAGCACAAGTATATTAGTTATATCCTAACTGTTTCCAAAACAAGTTCCTAGCATATTCCAAAGTCATATAGAACAAGATTAGTGAGTAAAAGTTCATAGAGCCTTATGGAGGACAGTACCATTAAATACATGTGTTTTTTGATCCAGTACAAAGGTGTATGCGTGAGCAGGTTCACTGCAGCAATCTGTACCACAAAAAATAAGCACTCGTGGCCAGGCATGGTGGTACATGCCTATAATTCCAGCTACTCAGAGATAGGAGGATCAAACTTTGGACCAGTCCTGGCTTAAGTTAGAGAGACTCTCTCAAAAATAAGCTGGCTTAGTGGCACACATATGTAGTCCTAGCCACTAAAGTAAAAGGACTGGGGACATGGTTCAAGTGATAGAGCATGTGCTTAGTACTGAGTTCAATCCCCAGTACTGTCAAAAAAAAAAAAAAAAAGTGCACTCAATATTCATCGCTAGAGGACTGGTAAAATAAATTACAATGTGACCATAAAACACCATGTAGCCCCTCAGATTAAACAAAATAATCTCTATGTACCAACTTCTAATACTAAGTAAAAAGCAATGGCTGGAGGCATGGCTCAAGTGGCAGAGTATGTGCCCCACAAGCATAAAGCTCTGAGTTCAAATGCCAGTACTGAAAAAAAAAAAAGCATGGTTCAGAATAGTATGTATAGTAAAATCCCATTTGTTTAAAAGCTGAAAAAGAAAAACTATATGTACAAATGTATGTAAATTCAAATAAAATGAGAAGCATATGACTATCACTTGTTATTGTTCTCTAGCCATTAGAAGAACAGATAAAAATTGTGTGTGTGTGTATGACTGGGGTTTGAACTCAAGAGGCTTTGCACTTGTAAAGCACTCTACCACTTGAGCCACACCTCCAGTCCATTTTGCTCTAGTTATCTTGAGATGGAATCTCATGAAATGTTTGCCCAGGCTGGCCTCAAACCGAGATGCTCCTGATTTCAAACTCCCAAGTAGCTAGGATTGTAGGTATAAGCACTGAAGGCTGGCCCATGCCATTTTTGTTTTTTTTTTTAATTATGTATATATTTATGTATTCTTTTTGTGAGGACAGGAGTTAAGACAGGGTCTCATTGTGTAGCCTCAAACTCACCATCCTTTTACCTCAGTCTTCCAAGTGCTGGGATTACAGGCATTTGCCACCACACCTGTCTGTATTTATATATTCTTGTATCATTAAGTCTTAAGATGGAAAGAATCTTATCTCTTAAACCCCCAAAGTAGCCATAGTTTTCTTAGTTATCAACATTCTGCACGGTGCCTTAGAAGTTTTCTTTTTAAAAATAGTATACTATGTGACATCAAGAGCACAGGTTTTGGGGTGAAACAGGGCCAAGTTCCAGTCCTTGCTCTGTCACTTACCAGCTCAGTCACTTTAGGCAGGTGATTTCTCCTCAGTCTGTCTCCTCATTTATAACTCAAGTTAGTCACTGTCTCTCCTATGGTTGTTGTGAAGGGGAGATGCAGAACAGCAACGCTTTATGCCAGCAAGCGGCCAGTGAATGGTCACCACAGCATTACCCATGCATGCCTTTCTCTGGGACCCCTCTGCAGGCACTCTGGGCAGGGAGAAGCCATGAGCAGCTTCTCTAAATGGGAGAGCACAGGGACTAAAAAGAGCACTTAAGTCAAAGCTGAGAGGAAAGGAGCTGGGGATCAGGCCTAGAGGAAGCAGCAGATAAAGTGGAGGCAGTGAGGAAGTCCAGGACAGCAACTAAGTATAAGACCTGAGCCAAAAAGCAACCTTTTATTAATGTAAGTGGTTAGGAACAAACAAAACTAAGAC